GATCACACAATAAAGAGAAAACGTAGTAACTTTCTTTTCCATGCTATTAACACTGACAGGAAAGGGATAAGATGAAACAGAGTAATAATAAGGAAACTTCGTGTGCTTCTAGGAGTGTGGCAGAGTATCACTTCCCGGGTGCTTGATTCACGCAATTCGATTTCCATCTTGAATATCTGCAAAAGGATAAACATTATTCTTTCGTAACTGCTTCAGGCTGCATAATGGATAAGATTTTATTATGATAAATCACACAGTGTTACACAGCTATATTAACTGATGACGTTTCGAGCACAACCTATTGCTGATAATCATATCAAGTTACTAACACAACTTCTTTCCTTCATTTATATACATGTGTGGAATCGATTATATATTGGAATAAAATTCAATATCAGATAATGTACATTCCAAAATAATAGTACGAGTGTTGACTTCGCAGTCATTGCAGGGTATTTTTTAAATTATATTATTTTGTTTAATTGGGTCCACCGGGTCTTTCAACCTACAAAGTTTGTCTCTGAGTGAGTTTGTGGGTTTGAATGCCACCCTAATTCCTGCTTTATTGAGAATCCTACATAGGGCCTCAGGTGTCCCCTCTTTATATGGTATAACAGCAGAAGACTTATATTCTCTTTTATGTATGTTATTACTACTAGTTACACGATAATTTTTATTTTGTCTTTGGCCTTTACTGATCTTCCTAATGAATTTTATAGGATAGTTATTCAACACCAACGCTTCTTCTATCTGTTTTATTTCGTCATTTAGGTCCTTTTCTGTGCTACTTAGTGCTATGGCTCGGTTTGTCAGACACTTCACTAAGCCTGCCTTAACAGTTAAAGGATGAGACGAATTAAAGTCTAAATATCTATTAGAATGCGTTGGTTTTCTATAAGCACTAGTGTGTAGTTTGCTTTCTTCTATTCGTTTTATCTTACAATCTAACTCAGCTAATTCTCCTTTTTCATGTTCCGATCCAAATGTGAATTTTATTCCCTCCACTAGTGAGTTTATTTATGTGTGTCAAGAAGCTAGAGATATGTTCTGTTATTAACACTGTGAAAGTGTCATCCACATATCTCCACCATATTTTTGGAGTAGGATTAAACGTATTAAGAGTCATATTTTCCCAGCTGTCCATAAGAATATCTGCTACAATAGGAGATATTGGTGATCCCATTGCTACACCTTCTGTTTGTCTATATATTTTGCCTTGGAACTTGAAGATAGTAGATGTGAGGCATAACTGGATCCCTAAAATAATTTCTTCAATGGGCAGCTTTGTCCTATGACTAAGTTCGGAATCAGAAGTTAGTTTTCTTTTAACCGATTCTAAGGACATATTGACTGGTATATTAGGGTAAAGACTAGTTATATCAAAACTGACAAAAAAGGACCTAAATGACGAAATAAAACAGATAGAAGAAGCGTTGGTGTTGAATAACTATCCTATAAAATTCATTAGGAAGATCAGTAAAGGCCAAAGACAAAATAAAAATTATCGTGTAACTAGTAGTAATAACATACATAAAAGAGAATATAAGTCTTCTGCTGTTATACCATATAAAGAGGGGACACCTGAGGCCCTATGTAGGATTCTCAATAAAGCAGGAATTAGGGTGGCATTCAAACCCACAAACTCACTCAGAGACAAACTTTGTAGGTTGAAAGACCCGGTGGACCCAATTAAACAAAATAATATAATTTAAAAAATACCCTGTAATGACTGTGAAGTCAACTACATGCGTCAAACTAGTAGATAAGGGGCAGTCAGATTGTCGGGACATATGAATTTAGATAAGTTAAGAATGGTTGACCCCGAGAAGATAAGCAATTTAGAAAAAAGCTCAGCTATTGCACTTCACACATTAACAAACAACCACACAAAAGGGTAGGAGAGGGTTGAAATTCTAAAAAGGAATATAGGTAGGTGGAGAGAGGTTGATTATGGAATCCATATTCATCGATTCTACACCCAACACATGCAACAGAAATGACTGAATGCAAAAACCAGAAATATGGAAGATATTATTACCGCCGGTCAAATATGAAAAGCATAATAATACAGAGAGAATAACCCCTTGACATGAAGGTGGAATTTGACTCAGTCTATCGACAGGTGCTGTGGCAATGTCTGACAGTGAAGCCAGGGCCGAGAAATTGTGTCTCACTAATCAAGGCACTCTTCTCAGAATCACGCGTCCGTGTGAGACCTTATGGAGAGTTGTAATCTGAAGTGATGACAATCAGTGTTGTCCCTTACGGATGCTTAATATCTACATTTTTGTTTAATTCCATCATAGACTTGCTGACGGATGTGACCCTAATCGACTTTGGATTGGCTAGCTATACCAGGGAGTATTCTTGCCGATACGGAATGTGCACACAAAGTAGTCATTCTAGGTGAAGATGCTCACAAAATACAGAGTCTTCTGAACAACTCGAGTAGAAATCCTCATGTTTCTTGCGTGCGATTTGTCCCCGTCGAATATGAGATGATGATGCAGGACTGGGATGCATCGACTGGACTAGCGTCCAATGATTGCTGACGTAATCTCAGCACCCATAAAAACTAGCACTTGCCAAACAACTCATCTGTCTCTTAGATTTCCCAGCCGACTGTCGATCAAAGAACGTGTGTACTGAGCAGCAGTTCTCTCATTCCTTTTTATGATTGTTGAACGTGATCATTGGAAGTGGAAGAGAGGTAGAGGTCGACTGCCTTTGGCCACAGGTGTTTGCATTCTAGTCCTCGTTTTGTGTTGATTAAAATGCTGAGTGGCACTGGGGGGGGGGGGGGTTCGTGTGGAGAGTTAGATAAGGAGGGAAAATCAGTAAATGAAGCCGTGGATATGCATTGGTTCAGACGACTAGGACATGTGTTACTCATATGAAGTCATCGCCCTACTTCTCCATTTATAATAGATGACACCGGATTGGGTTGGAAAAGATCCACTGATAGTCAAACCAAAACATATATTCAGTCCATGAAGATCTCGACTGTTGCTTTGAATCACGTAGAAGGATACAGACCTTCTAGTTGGGGTACGAGACAGAAAGTATATGCCTAACTGTGTAGAACATCGACATTCTGACAAAAGAAGTTGTAGCATGAGGACGTCTACATTGCAGACTTGAGTACACAATCCAATGCTTTGACCTCATTACTTTATACAGTAGTCTCAACTGCAATGCTGACGATATCGTAATAGAGAAGCTAAGCTAATGGATGTCAGAATGTTGGAGTCTAGTGGTCAGGTAATTCATCCCCCCAACAGTTGACTGGAAAGTCCTTATAACGCCATATCCACAAAACTCCTTTGACTATAATCTTCTGGAATGCAGTATTTCACTAACCCTATGACATATCACGAAGCCCACGCACTATGAGCCACAGCAAGTCTCCATAACCGTAGATCTGGCTTTCTCCCATGACGAGGATGTGGACCTCGTACAACATCTTCATCCCTTAGGAAGAAGTAACCGCACTGTGCTCGGTTTCAAGTTGACAGAAGCAGTGTAATGGACCAAAGCCCAAGCTCGACCAAACATTTGGAATGGTGATTTAAATGCCATCATTTCATAGGCTAAGCCTCTGAACTGGTACATAAGTGTAGGGACAATTTGAGCAACTTTACGCTCAGGAAACCAAACCTTCCATCGCTTAGTCTGTCCAAACGAGTCGAAAACATTGTTCCCATGGATTGACCGAGAGATTTATAAAGGAATTAGGCACGAACAAAAGTGCTGGAACCTGTCTACCACAGCTGAGACTTCTGAGACCAGATAATGAAAGGTAGATTGGCATTGCAAAACGAGTTCAGCAGGCTGTCGAGGATTCCAGGAATAATACAGGCACTAACTTTGACCAAAGGTGTCCCAAGATGTGAACGCGAACTAAGGTTTTGTTACTCTTCTGTCCAATCTGTTTGCAATGTGCTAGCAGAGCAATGAAATCCACAACAGTTAGCTTGAGCCACGTAGGAAGGTGTAGACTTCCTCGTCGTGGTCCTCGGGACGGTAAAAACCAATGACTAGAAACAATTGGTGATATGGCTCAAAATCGTTCTCACTGGCCGGCGCAGATGCATCCACTCCTTGTGACTAATGATTTCCAATGAAACTGTTTTGTTCTTTGTTATTACTATTCCTTTGTCTCACGCCTCTGTTTACTATCTCTTATATGCACTTCTTTCTACTTTCTTCTCTCGCTGTGTGTGCTACATGGAGTGTAGCGACTTGAACTGCTGCACATCGGTGCAAAGTTCTGTGTTGTAACCAGTCAGTGAGTGTCAGCAGAGACAATTTACTGCAGTATTTTCGTATATTTGGCAAATAAAGGTAGTTACCATAGAGTTCCACTTCGCAATGTTGTTTTCAGTGTTGCTTCAAGTCCTTGCACTAAATAATTCAGATAGATTGCCAATAACCTGTGATTCTTAATTGTAATGAAAATATCGTCGGTATTCAGAGCTCTGTGACTACACATATCCACTCGTTTACCGGTGGCACTTCTCTGTTCAACAGCGCATCCTTGTCCATAGCTTCTCATCGCAGGGTCGGTTTTCAAAGCACTTTAGATTTTTCTGAGAAAGTTAATTTGCTCTTTGTGTGGTATTTCTGTGTTTTGCAGTCCCAATCTTCAATTCGAGGCTGCTTGGGCGTTAACAAATATTGCATCTGGCACATCTTCACAGACCCTGGCTGTGGTTCATGCGGGAGCTGTTCCACTCTTCCTCAAGTTGCTGTCTTCTTCACATCCCAATGTGTGTGAACAAGCTGTTTGGGCACTGGGAAACATTATTGGGGACGGTCCTGTTTTACGCGACTATGTGATTCAACTGGATGTCATAAAGCCACTACTGAAGCTGTTAACACCAAACATACCACTTAACTTCTTGCGCAATGTCACTTGGGTCATGGTTAACCTGTGTCGTAACAAAGATCCGCCTCCACCAGCTTCAGCTATCAGAGAACTTCTTCCGGCCCTTCTATATTTGATCAAGCATACTGACGACAGTGTAAGTTATTGTCTTTGGTATATATTGGAGTTATCTGATTACAGATGATTTATTTCGCCTTAGTTTTGACCCGGTAATGTGTCAGCTTTTGGTGAATCAATCGGACAGCTATCACATTGTTTATTTACCTTACTGTCATTTAACATCAGTTGGGATATGCTTTCGTTGCTTGCCACCGAAGTGTATAGCTTTGCGAAGTAGTCTTGAAAGTGATACAGAAAATAATTTTGTAGTGTGTCAGCATAGAATGTAGATAATGTATAGTGGGAAACTACCATGGCGTAAGGAACTGTTCTGCGGAACATGGTCGCAAACAGTTAGAAAGGTTTCCAATCTGCAAAACCCCCACTCATGTTTTGCGAAGCAAGTGGTGATAATAGTCACGGCAGTAATCTCTGATATGTTATGAAAGGGTTTGGACATGTGCATAGCCATCAGTTCCCTTGACATACAAGGTCGACTCTAGTGGAATTCCCGTATTGGAAATAATGTTAAGGGGCGGAAAAATTTATTTAAGGATCATTTGATCTCAAGCCTCACTTCACTGGTCCTCAGTATCATTTTGACCCGTTTAGTAAAATACTTTTGAATACATATTGATACATATTTTGTGCTTGTTGGTCTGTTTGCAGATACTCGTGGATACCGTGTGGGCTATATCCTATTTAACTGATGGAGGGAACGATCAGATAGAAATGGTAATTAATGCAGAGATCGTGCCTCACTTGGTCCCGTTGTTGTCACACTCAAGTTTCAAGGTGCAAACCGCTGCACTGCGTGCTGTTGGCAACATTGTTACGGGTTCGGACCAGCAAACACAAGTTGTTCTGGATTGTGGAGCTCTGAGTCATTTTCCTGCTTTGTTAACCCATCCAAGAGATAAAATAAACAAGGAGGCTGTGTGGTTTCTGTCCAATATAACTGCAGGAAACCAAAGTCAAGTGCAAGCTGTAATTGATCATGGTCTAGTTCCACTCATTATTCATCATCTGTCCGAGAGTGAATTCCTAACACAGAAGGAAGCTGCATGGGCCATTTCTAATTTGACGATCAATGGAAATGCAGAACAGGTATGTAAATATCCGATTGTCTTAATAACAAAGTCTCATGTCAACTACAAACTGAAAGTTCATTCACTGGATTGACCTAAGAGACTGGTTCCTGATTGGAATGGTGATATGAATACAAAGACACCACTTCTGACTTCTACCATATACGTGGTGGAGATGCCTCGTAGCTTATTCAGTCATTTCACGTCAACCGATTTCGACCAACTCTAAAGCTGTGAGACAGAAATCTACTAACAATAAAGGAATAAGCGGCAATAGTTATTGGAACCGCTTATCCTCGCCTCAGCGTATAACGGTGATGCATGACCACGACATCGGAAGATGAATGGGTGACACGCTGGGGCGTGTTGAGAACTCAGAGAAGTGTAGTAGAAGCACTGGTAGTCGTTTAATGCGCTAGCTCCATCGGTCGATCACACACCGATGTGGTCAATTTGTGTTCAGACCTGAACGACAGAGAGGAGACACTATAGCGATGGTTGTGTTGTTTGGGAATGAGTTGGTATTTCCAGAAACCTTGATAAGATGGTGTCCATTTTCTGAACTCCGACCACCTAGGTCGCACTAAGCGTAGGTTTCAAATATGTGTATTCGCATCTCTATCTAGGACGACAAGATATTTTTGAGTGCGTTTATTTGAGATGAGGTCAGTCAGTCGGTGTCACATCTCTTCCTTAATGGGAACTGTCAGTGCACAGACAGAGATGACAGACGATTACCACGTCACTGACCAGCTCCTCTCTACTCTACTCTAATATAACCCTGTCGCCTAACAGTGCTTCAACAACCAATGATGGGAATTGAGTCGAGTGATGACTCGACCCGAACCTGGTCAAACCTGTTTGGTGTCAGAGTTCCAGGAATGTGCGAACGTTGTAAGTGACAAGCTGAAAGAGAGGAGGAAACATGTCATCAGAGTAGTCAGTCTTGTCAGATGTGGATGGAGATGGAGGAAAGCCGCTGATTGACGACTGGTGAGTGACTTGAACCGACTCGTTGGGTTTTCAATGTAGGACTATGCACAAATGTGCAACAGTTGTTCAGGTCACCACACTGCATATAACACACAGTGGGTAAGGCTAGAAATGTCCACGGAACTGAAGTGAATGGAGACGTAGGGGAGAAGGAATGAATGCATGTGGAAAAGTGAGGATTTGATGGATGTGGAAGTGCATAAAGAGTGAGTGGAACTGCTCCAGCTGTATTAACTTGAACCATGTTACAAAAGTCTGCAGCCATTGATTTCTGGTCTGTGGAGTATCCCAGCTAGAAGGTCTGTATCCTTCTACGTGATTCAAAGCAACAGTCGAGATCTTCATGGACTGAATATATGTTTTGGTTTGACTATCAGTGGATCTTTTCCAACCCAATCCGGTGTCATCTATTATAAATGGAGAAGTAGGGCGATGACTTCATATGAGTAACACATGTCCTAGTCGTCTGAACCAATGCATATCCACGGCTTCATTTACTGATTTTCCCTCCTTATCTAACTCTCCACACGAACCCCCCCCCCCCAGTGCCACTCAGCATTTTAATCAACACAAAACGAGGACTAGAATGCAAACACCTGTGGCCAAAGGCAGTCGACCTCTACCTCTCTTCCACTTCCAATGATCACGTTCAACAATCATAAAAAGGAATGAGAGAACTGCTGCTCAGTACACACGTTCTTTGATCGACAGTCGGCTGGGAAATCTAAGAGACAGATGAGTTGTTTGGCAAGTGCTAGTTTTATGGGTGCTGAGATTACGTCAGCAATCATTGGACGCTAGTCCAGTCGATGCATCCCAGTCCTGCATCATCATCTCATATTCGACGGGGACAAATCGCACGCAAGAAACATGAGGATTTCTACTCGAGTTGTTCAGAAGACTCTGTATTTTGTGAGCATCTTCACCTAGAATGACTACTTTGTGTGCACATTCCGTATCGGCAAGAATACTCCCTGGTATAGCTAGCCAATCCAAAGTCGATTAGGGTCACATCCGTCAGCAAGTCTATGATGGAATTAAACAAAAATGTAGATATTAAGCATCCGTAAGGGACAACACTGATTGTCATCACTTCAGATTACAACTCTCCATAAGGTCTCACACGGACGCGTGATTCTGAGAAGAGTGCCTTGATTAGTGAGACACAATTTCTCGGCCCTGGCTTCACTGTCAGACATTGCCACAGCACCTGTCGATAGACTGAGTCAAATTCCACTTTTTCGGTCAAGAGTCACGTCATGTGTTGTACGCCGTTACTTCACCGGAATCAGTTTTCTTGCCTCTGTTGATTTGAATGGTACCACTGAAATAGGCAGACATTCGCTTAGCTTGACTTGCACTTTTACGAGAGATTGTAGCTTCACTAATATGGGAGGCTGATTTTTGTGTATGTTTTCTACAAAATGGCTGCTTCTGTCAATCCTTGTTGTGCATTTTCTTAGTTTTTCTGAGTATGGTATCTGTTTTTCTTGTGAATTTTAGTTTTATGTTCTCCCTACGGTCTGCTTCCCATGGTAATTCAGTCCTATATATACGGGTAAATATATTAATGATTTATGCGTGTCTACGCAGGTATTCCAGAATGAGAGGATACCTCCTGCCTATCATCCCCATTCATAGATTATATCTCTGTGATCTAACTCTGTCTATATTTGAGTTGATGTCTGTTGTCGCCATGTGAGGCAATATGTCTCCGTGTGTTAGAATTTAGAGCTGAAGAGGAATTGGCAGTTATTTGAACCAGCGTTTTCGGTTCGTCTGCATTGGTTTGTGCAGGTGCTTTCAATTTGCCCTTCCAAATGTCTACCTTACCTGAGCGTTGAAATCACGTTCTAAAATGACTATATCTGAATATCTTGTCTTCAGCAATGAACTAAATAGCTTTTGGTAAAAGTTATCCCTTTCTCTGCCCAGAATGCAGTCACTTGTGCATATGGGGAGACATCAGTGGTTAGGACTCTCGCCGACCATGCACATGGTCTGAGGTTCGAGCCTCTGCCGGCGCACACCCGATATCTATGGTCGGCCTGCAAATTTGGGCTACCGATATCCATGCTGAAAATGCCATACTTGTACTGAAAATATGGTGTGGCATCAAGCTGTAACCAAAATAAAAAAAATTAAAAAATAAATAAATCAACAAGAACCACATTCTTTCACACTCCTAAAGGATCTGTTTAACCAGATAGCATACAAAAGACTTTCATCTGGAATCTAATATTGTAGCGATTTTTTACTCTAGCAGTGAATGCTATTTTTAAACTGGCTAGTCATCGGTGATTACTTTGAGAATCGCCTGATACGGGTAAAGTGAAGACTGTAGATTCACCATTTTAACCAAGTGGATTTAAGTGACTGGACACAATTGGATCTTGTATGCGTGTCTCCTAAAACACAACACATATCCATGAATCAAGAAGCCATAATGCTATCTGGCGAATCATGTTGTCCTCTTTTTCATCAAATGTTGACTTTAAACGCTCCAATATGACTTTTTGTTTGATGCTACTGAGTCTAGTGTATTTCTAGGTCAGATCCTTATCTAGTTGTCGGAGAGGTTTTCGACCTTCTACCTACCTGTTTATTTTTTTTAACAGTGGGTGGATATTAAATGATGGCGAATGATGATGGAATAATTTCTGTCCGCGTATGGAGTTTTATGTACAGGTTTTACTTCCTATCAGCCCACATCGTGGAATTCGATTTCTTCTTTGAATACCTGAAACAGGATATGCGTTGATGTTTTCTGACTGTATATCCTTGTGGAGAACGATTCGATGTCAGTCACACACACACATCCTGTTTACATTGGTTCTTGGTGTTGTGTCAGTATGGGAATCCTGCCGCCAGCCTTGGCCTGTTGAGAGGTGAGTAGGAATACAAAATCTTCGAGTCGACCACTTATAACGAGCTAAACCCAGAATATGCAAATACAGCCTGACTAGCCTACTTGTCATCTAAGGGCAACACCGTATTGCTGTTACATTCCTATTTGCCAGCAGCACCACTTCGCAGTCAGACACCTTACCTAGCGTAAGCAAGCAAAACTATCATTTCAAATGCTTTTAATGTGGTATGGTAGAACCTGCAGAAACATTTGTTTCAGTCAGTATAGCTCACTGAACATTTGAGGCAGACAATCTGCATGTCCACACCATTATATTTCATTGGCTTTTCTCAACTACACACAACGATAAACTATTTAATATTATTTGAGTTTAGACCACCGATTGATATCAGCTAGAGGACCATTGAAAAGTATGGAATACTGGACAGTTGTTTCGTCCTAGTTTTGGGCTCATCGGCAGTCCGCACCCCCTGGGTTTCGAACCCAGGACCTTCCGGCACAAGGCAAGCCCGTATACGAACATTAATATCAATATATAAAACATTTATGCATATATATATATATTTATATATATATCCTTCACCCTTATGATCAATAACTAAAGTATTTGAATATTTCATATATTAGTATACAAAATATTCAAATACTTTGGTTATTGATTGTAAGGGTGAAGGATATCAATGCCACGTGACTAGATAGCACAATAGAAATAAATAAATGTTATCGTTAAGCTTGTTAGTAATTTGAGAAAGAATTAAGAAGTGTTCTACAATTACAAATGAATGCTACAAAATAAACAGAGGTGTAGAATCAACAACACATTTACGTAAGGGTCAAATAATTCGATATAAGTATAAAACTTGGGCAGTGTGGTAGAGTATAACTCCATTATGGATAAGATTTTACTTTGATAAATCACACAGTGTTACACAGTAATATTAACTGATGACGTTTCGAGCACAAACTATTTCTCATAATCATATCAAGTGAGCAAAAAAGATGATATATATATATATATGAAGACAAAAATTAAATGTAGTAAATTACATTGTCAAAACAAAATCTAATTAGAATTTAAAATATAAAATTAATATTTACCGTTGCAAGGTATGAATAACTACGGTTTCCTTGTGGATATATAAATTTCTGTTTAATCGTTTAATGGTAATCATTTCAACGAGTTTGGGCAACCTAAAAACACTGCCTTCAGCTTTAATTACCTTGAAGGATTT